TTTTTTTTTTTTTTTTGCTTCCTTTGTTTTTCCTTTTTGCTAGGTTCTTCCTCTTCCTTTTCTTTCTGATACTGTAACCATAACACTTGAAACCACCTTCAATTTTCCTCACCAAATCAATCCATCTTCTTCCCCTTGATTTTCCTCACCCCTTTCTTTTCTAGATTTGGTTGTTCGTTGCCCATTGCTTGTGCGCCTAACAAATCCAAGACCACTGCAAATCAAATGTCAAAATCTACCCCAATTTAGTGGAATATGGCTCTTTTATGTAAGGGCAGCAAAAACAATTGTTAAAAGCTTCTTCAAGGGAATGAAGAAAGTATTAAATTAATAGCCAAAAAATAAAAAGATAAAAAATAAAACTTTTTAAAGCTTATTTGTATCTCAGGAAAACAAAGGGAAAATGGGTACAAAAAAGGGATAGGCGCAAACCCTAGGTGGAGAAGACGATGAAAGATTTAACTACAAGGAATGGTGAATTTGAGGACAACTTAAGCTAAAACTCAAATCTAGATCTTCTTTATCAACCATCATGTTTTCTCTCTCACCAAACAAGATCCAAGAAACAAAGTTTGTTTCAAGATTTCAGATTTAAAAGGAAAATTAGAGAAAAGTTGTTGGGTTTGAAAAAACCCAATGGCTATTAGGTTCGAAAGAACCCAACAGCTTTGCTAGGTCTTTTCGAACCCATCGGCTACTAGGTTCAAAAGAACCCAACAATGCTTTCAAACCCAATAGCTACTAGGTTCGAAGGAACCTAGCAGTGCCTGTTGGGTTCCAAGTTCTTGGCTCTAGTTCCTTGCTCCACCTCGGGGATCTCAGATAATGGGTTTGCAGAAGGTAAAGGAAAGGAAGAGGAAAAAGAACCCAAATTTGGTGTTGGGGAAAGGAGAGAGAAAATGTAAGGATTTAGATTTTAGAGGTTGAAGAAAAGGGTAATATAATCATTTTATTATGTTTAGAGATTATTTAGATAATTTTTTTTTTTTCAGATCATGTATTTTGCCTCATTGTAAATTACATGTATTTTATTTATTAAAAAGACATGTCCTTGCCATTAGTTAACATGCCATGTCAACAAAGATTTAATGGAATGATCAAGTTGGGGCCAAAACAGTAAACAGTATGGACCAAATCAGGGATTTTTTGAGTGGAGGGACTAAATCAAGGGTCCATACAATAGTTGAGGGACCAAAATGGGGGTTTAACCAAACTATTTAAGTTGTGGTTTATTCGATGATGTAAAGTCATAGTGTATTACACAATTGATAAGGGAATTTGTGTTATACTAGGAATCTAGATTGCTAAATTAGGCCAAACTCATTGGGAAATAGAGAAACCTAAAAGTGCCTTGGGGATCCAAGTTTTGTTATTTCATATAGTGTACATAGTGTTTGACTCTTTAACTTTCTATTGCATTGTTAATAAGTTGTCTTATAGTGCATGGGGGCATCTAGTAGTGTCTTATGGCCACCCAAGTTGATAACAATGTTGATGGCTTCAACAAACCTTCTTCTGACTGATAAACTTGAGTAATTCAATCCTTCTAGATTACTAACATCTAGATTGAGCAAGGTGTTATATGTTATCATCCTTATAAGTAGATGTGTTTTCTTTGATTCCTAAGTTAAAAATACTTCTTGAACGAACTCTTTCCTTCTTGCCATTACTATGGACTTGCAAATAGGCCTACCTCAATTAAACGACTTAAAGATGTCTTTTTTTATTCAATTTGAGAAGGATAAATCATATCTTTACTTGCTCATTATCCTCATGTGATTTGTAATTTACCCAATAACTGTATTACTTACAACCCCTCATAATAGTTGTTTGCAATAACATTAAAGTGCACAAGTCAATACATAAAATATTGACAATCTCAAGTCAAAGGTTCATAGACAGTCACATCATTGATAAGAAGTAACTAATGACATGTACATGTAGTGTCCTCATGATAAGTCAATTTGGTGCACTCAACTTCTTTGAGACACCTACATTTAAGGCATGACTTTATGAGAAAAAAATATGCCACCTAGCAAAATCTTATCGTGCCTTAGTATTTACACCGATTGATGTCCTATCTCAAAAATATATATGGTTAATATATAATTTAAGAACATTATTATTAAATCATATGGTTTCACTATTAGTAATGGCTATTATTACCTACTGATGCAACAAACATTTTAAGAATTTTATTGATTTTTAACATACGTAGAAGAATAATAATCAATGTTCGATAAAGAATGTTATAAATAATATAATGAGCATAATTATAAGTATCACTAGCTCTCACTTGTAAATCATATTTCTATTGAAAGATGACTTAGTGGGTCTATGACATTGTCCTTTTGTCACTACTCTACTAATCAAAACCTCACCTCTCTACACAAAGCTTGTTAAAAGGTGGTATTTTCTAAGTATATGCTTGGTTCCTTGATGAGATTGTAGTTCCATGGTAGGTGCTATAGTTGCATTGTTATAAAAAGAAACTAGGTCAACAATGCTAGTCATAAAGTTAAGCTTAGATATAAACTCATGAATCCAAATTGCAAACTTAGCTACCTCGTAAGCTGCAATTTACTTAGATTTTGCTATGGATTCAACAGTTTCCTCTTGCTTGAAAATCTTCTAATTTACTACTCCATTAAGGCAAAATACAAAACTACTTTGCAATCTAAAGTTATTAAGATTTGTTTGGGAGCTAGCATCCATGTAACCCCTCACTACTAACTCTTTGTCTCCTCTATATTATAAGTTTACTTATCATGCTTTAAGCATACGAACTATTAAACCTTGTACAAAGCATATCATACATATTTGAACTTATTTTAAAGATTCATATAGGATCTTGCACATTCTTTCCCCCTCCCTTTGTGTCTAAGAAAACATTTTCTTGGAGAGATGTATGACATGAGATGTAGGTATTGATTCTTTCTTGAATTGCTTAAGCACCCTGTCAATGTATGTGCTTTAACTTAGTCTTAGTAGCTTTCTAGATCTATCTCTATAGATCTTCCTCCTAAAATGTCGGTTGATTCATCTAAATCTTTCATGGAGAAGCACTTGTCTAGCTAATTCTTTATAGACTTCAAAGCACGTATTTGGTTTCTTATAATTAACATGTCAATGACATACAACACTAAGAAAACTACATCACTCTCACTAACTTGTAAACACAAATCTCACTTTCATTCTTGTTGATATCAAATAACTTGACTACTTTATTAAAACAAATATTCCAAGTACTAGAAGCTCACTTTAATCATAAGTGGACTTTTTCAACTTGCATAACTTCTTGGCATCTTAAGGTATTACAAAACTGTCACACCCCAAAACTAGGAGTGAAACAGATGCCATGCACTCGTGAATGGATCCCATAAATGCACAAGGCTTAGAACCTACTATGTTCATAATTACCAAAAATTTACTAGTCAAGATGTACAAAAGTTTATAAGACAGCCATGGCTATAACCAAGGGAAACTCAGTATACAAAAAAAATGATTAATCATTTCACATCTATGTCAAGCATGTGTGGCTAACGGCCTAAGTCCAAAAAGGATCTAAGTCTAAAATACTGACTAACTTTCTAGCTCGTCACTCCCCCTGGTTAACCGTGCCTCAGGTCTCACTTCCTGAAATAGTGGACAAGAAAAACTATGAGATAAGACATCTCAGTAAGTAAAAATATAGATAGCCCGTGAGTAAAATTTAAGCATGCCTGATAAACAATTTAATATAACAAAACATTTAATGATAAACCGTTAATGCAGAATAAGATTTAGTAGTAGTCTCATCTATAAGTCATAGCAAGTGTTTAACAAATTCCCACTGGCAAGCGTCGATAATAACCAATGTATTATCCCATTAGTAGTATTACAGAATGAACTAATCCTATCAGTATACATATTGACATGTGCTAGTGTTTGCAAACACCCACTAGCAGGCGTCAGTAATCATGATTATATTAGAGATAAAACCATGCAAGATTTACAAGAAAATCCGTAATTCACAATCAATCTCAAATTTCAAGAATAAATCAGAAAAATTTCCATGTGGGCATGCTCAACCCCAAAAAATAATAAAAATTTTCATTTATATCCTAATCATGCTCAGGTGCTAATAAAATTAATTTAAACCTTGCCACCATCTCAAGAACAATTTAAAATATGATTTTACTTTGAAATCGAAGGGCGTTACCATAATTTACTTACCTCAGTTGCATAACATAGAAAACTCACTCCAAGTGCTAGGGTGACAGAATAATCAAGAACCTAACCAAAATATTCCAGAATTAATAACCATATGACCGGACATCTCAATTTTATTCTCAATATAAACTAAACATTTAAACCTTCCTATTGTTGCCGGCCATTAATCCTATAAAGAAATCTTATTTCTTTATTTATTTATTCATTTATTCTTATTTTTCTTCTATTCAAAATTTGAGCTCTAATTGCTACTAGAATTCATCCCCTATTTTAGTAGAAATTCGGACAGCGCAGAGGCAGCAATTAATGGATAAATTCAGCAACTAATGGGTAATTTTGGACTTAGAGGGAGCTGTCACATACCAGAAAATTCAGCAAGCAAAAATCCGAGCTGGCGGCTTCGGGAAGCCAACGGGAATTGAAGAACTTAGGGGATCTACCAGAAATTGGGAGAAACCAAAAGAAATTAGAGTGAACCCAAGCCAAATCAAAGGAGAAAAGAGGAATTAGTGGCTATTTCCTTACCAGAAACCTGAAAAATTCACACCCACACAGCCAAGAGCAGCGGACGGAGGGGGAAGGAACAAAGCAGATCTGAAATTTTTCTTAAGGGGGAATATTTCTAAGTTCTAAACTTGTTCTTGAACAAGAAAGAAGGGAAAAAATCAAGCTTTTACCGTTTCTCAAAAGGGTGGGTGTTGTTGGTGGCTTGGGGCTTCTTGTTCTGCTACAAGGGAAAAGAAGAAGAGTAGAAATGCGCGGCTGAGGAAGAAAGAAAGGAAAAGAAAGAAAGAAAAAATCAGCCGATCCTTATACTAATTCCTTTCTCTTTTAAGTCCCTCAAATTTGAAAATTTTATGATTAAGCTCAATAATATTATTTTCTCACAATTAGGTCCCTAGCTCACACTTAATTGTTCTAGAAATTTTTGGGGTATTACATCTACCCCTCCTAAAAAGGAGTTTAGTCCCCTAAACTCATACCTCAATCTTGGAAGAGGTGCGGATGTTCCTGCCTCATCTTGGATTCCAACTCCCAAGTAGCTTCTTCAACCGAATGGTTGTCCCAAAGAACTTTAACAAAATGAATAGTCCTTCTCCGCATTACCCTCTCCTTGAAATCTAAAATATGGATTGGGTGCTCATTATAAATGAGATCTTCTCAAAGCTGAATAGGTTCAGGATCAATGATGTGGCTCGGGTCAAGAATATACTTCCGAAGTAAAGAACACATGGAACACATCATGAACACTCGCTAAATTTCTAGGCAACTCCAATCGGTAAGCTACGTCGCCAACCCTTTCCAAGATAGGATATGGTCCAATATACCTCGGACTCAATTTTCCCCTAATGTCAAACTTGAGGACACCTTGAGTGGGTGACACCTTCAAAAATACATGGTCACCAACTCCAAACTCAAGGTCTCGTCTCCTTATATCCGCATAGCTTTTTTGCTTGCTCTGTGCAACACGAAGGCGTTCCTTGATCAATTACACAATCTCAGAAGACTGTTGCATCAATTTTGGGCCCAGAATGCTTCTCTCGCCTACCTCTGCCCAGCAAACAGGTGATCTACACCTTCGACCATACAAAGCCTCAAATGGTGCCATGCAGATGCTAGACTGGTAACTATTATTATAGGCAAATTCAGCCATGGATAAGTGTTGATCCCATGAACCCTTCCAATCTAGAACACAAGCCCTCAACATGTCCTCAAGTATTTGAATAGTTCTCTTAGATTGCCCATCAGTTTGAGGATGGAAGGTCGTGTTGAAATTTAATTGAGTACCAAGTGCCTACTGCAAGCTTTTCCAAAAATAAGATAAGAATCTTGTATCCCTATCTGACATAATAGACATAGGGTCTCCATGTAGCCTGACTATCTCATTCATGTACATATTGGCAAGCTTCTCAATGGATGCGCCAGTTTGGTAAGGTAAGAAATGTGCTAACTTGGTCAATCGATCAACAATGACCCAGATGGAATCATTTCCCTTTAAGGTTCGTGGTAAACCCGTCACAAAGTCCATGGTGATATTCTCCCATTTCCATTGGGGAATAGGTAACAGTTGTAGCTTCCCAAGAAGTCTTTGGTGTTCAGCCTTGACTTTTTGGCAAGTCAAGCATTGTGAGACAAATCTAGCTATCTCCCTCTTCATATTCTGCCACCAAAATGTACTACGCAAGTCACGATACATCTTGGTGCTACATGGGTGAACTGTGTAACTAGTAGTATGGGCATCTCCCATAATCTCACGCCTTAAAGCATGATCTCTTGGTACACACGACCTGTCACCAAACCACAGAGTCTCATCATCAGAAACTCTTAATTCTTGCATGTGGGGTTCCCCCCCTCTTTACTTTTTCCTTCAACCTTTGCAAGAAAGGATCTTTTTGTTGGGCAACTTTAATTCTATCAATTAATGTCAATTGTGAACTGAGAGCAGCTAGATAAGCTGTAGTACTGTCCACTCTCAACTCCACATCCAGTTTCACAAGATCCTCAAGTAACTCCTTCTGGGTGGCAAGGATGCTAGAGGTAGTGCCAAAGGACTTCCTACTCAATGCATCTGCTACTTTGTTGGCTTTGCCTGGATGGTAACTAATGGTCAAGTCATAATCTTTCAAAAGTTCAAGCCATTGCGTCTGCCTCATGTTAAGCTCCTTTTGAGTGAAAATATACTTGAGACTCTTGTGATCGGTGAAAATTTCACAGGTCTCATCATATAGATAATGCCTTCAGATCTTGAGTGCAAATATCACAGCTACTAACTCCAGATCATGGGTAGGGTAATTTTCTTTATAAAGCTTTAACTGCCATGGAGCATATGCAATAACCTTATCTTTCTGCATCAAGACACATCTCAAATCCTTTTTAGAGGCATCACTATATATAGTGAATCCTTCCCCATTGATGGGAAGTGCGAGTACAAGAGCAGTGACTAGTTTCTCTTTAAGGGTCAAAAAACTCTTCTCACACTCTGGAGTCCACTTAAATTTTGGTGTCCTTCCTGATCAGACGGGTCATTAGCAAAGCAATTCTAGAGAAATCCCCCACAAATCGGTGGTAATAACCAACCAATCCCAAAAAACTACAAACTTCTGCAACACTATTTGGCCTTTTCCAATCCACCATGGCCTCAATCTTCTAGGGGTCAATGGAGATTCCATTCTTAGTCACAACGTGACCTAGGAATGCAACATTATCTAGCCAAAATTCACACTTCTTAAATTTAGCAAACAGCCTCTCACTTCTCAATGTCTTGAGAACTGTCCTTAAGTGCTTTTCATGAAGAGCATGGCTAAAAGAGTAAATCAAAATGTCATCAATAAAGACAACCACAAACTTATCTAGGTACTTCCTAAATACTCGATTCATCAAATTCATAAATCTTGCAAGGGCATTTGTTAAACCAAAAGGCATAACCAGGAATTCATAGTGACCATTGCGGGTACGGAAGGCAGTCTTTGGCACATCATTAGGTTTAATCTTCAACTGATGGTATCCAGATCGGAGATCAATCTTAGAAAACACTTAGGCACCCTTAACCTAATCAAACAAGTCATCAATTCTAGGAAGTGGATATTGGTTCTTCACAATCATTTTATTCAGTTCTCGGTAATCTATGCACAGTCTCATGCTCCCATCTTTCTTTTTAACAAACAACATTGGAGCTCCCCAAGGTGACACACTAGGTCGTATAAACCCTTTCTCAAGGAGTTCCTCTAGTTGGACCTTTAACTCCTTCAACTCCTTAGGAGCCATACGGTACGAGGCTTTAGAAATAGGTCCAATGCTAGGAACAAGATCAATAGCAAATTCAATCTCCCTATTTGGAGGTAAACCTGGGAGATCCTCCGGAAATACATCCGAAAACTCACACACCATAGGGATGTCTTCTAGTCTCAATGTCACACTACTAGCATCAGTGACAAAAACTAAGAAACCCTGGCAACCATTTATAAGATATTTTTGAGCCTGCAAGGCTGATATCAGCATGGGTGGAGCAAAGGAACCACTACCTTGGAAACTAAATTCTGGCTCCTTAGGAATATTAAAAATTACCCATTTACAGTTGCAGTCTATAGAGGCAAAATATTTTGACAGCCAATTCATCCCCAAAATGATGTCAAAATCAGAGATATCTAAAACAAACAGGTTAGCACTCAATTGTCTACCATCAATATAAATATCTTCAGTCCTACACACATCTCTAGTAGTCATCACCCCTCCTAAAGGGGTATCCACATGCAGTTCAAAATCGGAGGTATAAAAGAGTGTGATGCACCTGAATCAAATAAAACATGTGCATAATCAGAATTGACAAATAAAGTACTTGTGATTACGTCGGTAGCCGCAGCTTCCTTGTGAGTCGTCACGTGCACTCTCGCCTGTTGGGCTCTTGTCCTAACCCCGACATTCTGTTTCTGTGCCCCCTGATTAGTGGAACCCTACTGAGATGTAGATTGAGTACTCTGAGCTCTAGGGTCCAACTGTGGGCAATTAGCAACCTGATGTCCCTGTTTGCCACATCTGAAGCAAGCCCCAGTAGTAATGTGACAATGGTCGCGAGTGTGCCCAACTCTTCCACAAGTGTGGCAAATAGTTTGAGCAAGATGAGTACGCTAGGTTGCTGATGCCTGACCCACAATCTTGGAAACCCTTAGCTCTTTATAACCCTTGTCAATATCAGACTTAGGCGGTGCAGAGATAAAGGGTCTACGGCTCCCATCAAATTTTCTCTTCCTAAGGGATGACCCAACTTTTTGCGGATCTGGTGTCTTAACTTTAGCCATAGCCTTCTCCTGATCTATGGCTGTGTCCGCCGCCTCTTTATAAGTGGTGGGTTTGAATTGATTCACCGCTAGATAAATGTCAAGATTCAAGCCCCATGAAAATCTATTAGCTTTGGCTTGCTCATCCCCGACTTGACTACCCATAAAAGGCAGATAGCGGTCAAACTCCTTCTTATACTGCTCAACAGTACGTGACCCTTGTTTAAGATCTACAAATTCCCTTTGCAGCTCACGCCTTTTGCTATCGGGTATGTATTCTTGCATGAACACCTTTTTAAAACCATCCCAGGTGCTCAATTCAGGCTCTCTTTGGTGTAGCTTCAAGTATCTCTCCCATCAAGTCAATGCGTCACCCATAAGCATACAACTGCCCACATCGACCTTAAGGTCATCAGAAATCTTCAGTAGGCGAAATCCCCTCTCCACCTAGGTAATCCATGACCCCACCTACTCAAAACCCGCGGTACAATCAAATTTCTTGGTTACCACCTTCTGGAATTCTATATGGACCTTCCAACTAGGCACAGTAAGAGTAGAAGATATAGGAGCAAGAGAAATATGAGCAGGGCCCGTAGGAGTGGAAACCACTGGGATGGAGGTGGCACCCTCATGGTAGAAAATGCTTGGCGTCTCATCTCCACCATAAATTCCTAAACAAAAGTGGTCATTTAAGGGTTACTCGTTCCTCCCTCTTAAGGAGCAACTTGGGCAGAAGGGCTAGCAGCTGCGATTGGAAGTGTGCCCTGATCCTTATAGCCACCCCTCGAGCGCCCACGCCGTTTTGGAGCCATCTATAATCACATAAAAGGTTCATAGAGTACTAATCAAGTGCCCCAAATTAGAATTTCCCGACAAGTTTCCACTTCCGGGACCAAAACCTAATAATTAAAATCCAACACATATTAAAGAAAGAATCAAACAAGTGCCCTTAATCAACCCCACTCTCATGCCTCACCACATTCCTATAATCCATTGGCTAGCCAAGTTCTAAACAAATCCTAGGTATTTAATTTAAACCTAGGCTCTGATACCACAAAATCTGTCATGCCCCAAAACTAGGGGTGAAACAGACGCCGTGCACTCGTGAACAAGTTCCACAAATGCATAAGGCTTGGAACCTATGGTGTTCATAATTGCCAAAAATTTACTGGTCAAGATGTACAAAAGTTTATAAGACAGCCATGGCTATAACCAAGGGAAACTCAATATACAAAAAAAAATGATTAATCATTTCACATCTATGTCAAGCATGTGTGGCTAACGGCCTAAGTCCAAAATACTAACTAGCCTTCTAGCTCGTCACTCCCCCTGGTTAACCATGCCTTGGGTCTCACTTCTTGAAATGGTGGACAAGGAAAACTCTGAGATAAGACATCTCAGTAAGTAAAAATATGGATAGCCCGTGAGTAAAATTTAAGCATGCTTGATAAACAATTTAACATAACAAAACATTCAATGATAAACCGTTAGTGTAGAATAAGATTCAGTAGTAGTCTCATCTAGAAGTCATGGCCAGTGTTTAACAAACTCCCATTGGCAGGCGTCAATAATAACCAATGTATTAACCCATTGGCAAGATTACAGAATGAACCAATCCTATTAGTATACATGTCGACATGTGCTAGCGTTTGCAAACTCCCACTAGTGGGCGTCAGTAATCATGACTATATTAGAGACAAAACCATGCAAGATTTACAAGAAAATCCGTAATTCACAATCAATCTCAAATTTCAAGAATAAACCGAAAAAATTTCCATGTGGGCATGCTCAACCCCAAAAAATAATAAAAAATTTCATTTCTATCCTAATCGTGCTCAGGTGCTAATAAAATCAATTTAAACATTGCCACCATCTCAAAAACAATTTAAAATATGATTTTACTTTGAAATTGAAGGGTGTTACCATAATTTACTTACCTCAATCGCATAACACAGAAAACTCACTCCAAGTGCTAGGGTGACAGAATAATCAAGAACCTAACCAAAATATTCCAGAATTAATAACCATATGACCGGGCATCTCAATTTTATTCTCAATATAAACTAAACATTTAAACCTTCCTATTGTTGCCGACCATTAATCCCATAAAGAAATCTTATTTCTTTATTTATTTATTCATTTATTCTTATTTTTCTTCTATCCAAAATTTGAGCACAAAAATAAGATTGTGCGTTTATATATATGTATATAAACACACATATACAAAATTCTCCAAATTCACGGACAACATGGAGGAACCGACTTTGGCAAAACAATAGTTAATTCATGGGATTTTTCTCTAGAACCCTATAGCAGCCAATTAATATCCAATCACATAAATTCTACATGAATTAAACTTAAATTTTGTTCTAATTGCTATCTGAATTCATCTCCTATTTCAGCAGAAATTCGGACAGCGCAGGGGCGGTAATTAATGGATAAATTCAGCAACTAATGGGTAATTTTGGACTTAGAGGGAGCTGTCACATACCAAAAAATTCAGCGAGCAAAAATCCGAGTTGGCGGGTTGAGGAAGCCGATGGGAATTGAAGGAGAATTTAGGGGATCTACCAGAAATTGGGAGAAACCAAAAGAAATTAAAGTAAACCCAAGCCAAATCAAGGGAGAAAAAAGGAATTAACAGCTGTTTCCTTACCAGAAACCTGAAAAATTCACACCCACATAGCCAAGAGCAGCGGACAGAGGGGGAAGGAACAAAGCAGATCTAAAATTTTTCTGCAGGGGGAAGATTTCTAAGTTCTAAATCTTGTTCTTGAACAAGAAAGAAGGGAAAAAATCAAGCTTTTACTGTTTCTTAAGAGGGTGGGTGTTGTCGGTGGCTTGGGGCTTCTTGTTCGGCTGCAAGGAGAAGAAGAAGAAGAGTAGAAATGCGCGGCTGAGGAAGAAAGAAAGAAAAAATCAGCCAATCCTTATCCTAATTCTTTTCTCTTTTAAGTCCTTCAAATTTGATAATTTTATTTTCTCACAATTAGGTCCCTAGCTCACACTTAATTGTTCTAGAAATTTTTGGGGTATTACAAAAACTATCTAGCTATATCACATATACATCATTAGTTAGATTTCTAGTAAGGAATTTGTTTTTAACATCTATCTACCAAATTCTTATATTCATAGGATATAGCTAGGATAAGTAAAATCTTAATGGATTTAAGCATGATTATCATGAAATATTTCTTCATAATCTATTCCTTGATGTTGCATGAAACCTTTAGGAACCAATCTTGCTTCTATAGGTATATGCATATTACCATCCATGTCATTTTCCTATTGAACACCAATATGCACCTTATGGGTTCAACTTGTTAATCTTAATTTTATGATTATGACTTAAATGTAAATGTACAATATTCAATTTCAAATATTTATGAATTGTTTCCTTCTGCAAAAATTATATGCTTTGATTTATCTTAAAATTGTGAAATGAATTTCTCTTGCATTTTCTTATTTAAAACTTTTGAAATATGGAAGTAATATCACCATTAAATTTATCTACCTTCCATATTAGTCAAATAATTTAAAAAGTTAGATTACATATTTATTTGATCCCTTAAATCAAATTTGTTGGTATATGATTTACCCAAAAAGAAAAAAAAAATCGAGTTCCTTTTTATGCAACTTTTTCATTCAACCATCACAATTTGAAAAAATTTCACAAGTTCAAGAACAATTTCATGCTCTAACCCTCTATGTCATGAAAAGGAGATTTGATAAGTTCGAATAGATGTTTATAAGTTCCAAAACCTTTAGAGTTCATTATATAAATTCCAAAACTTTTCAAATGCTTTAAGACATTTTAACAAGTTCTAGTTCTAGAACATTTTAACAAGTTTTAGAATGTTGGATTAGATTTTCATAATCTGCATTTTGAAATCACACATTTAATACATTTAATACTTTCGATATGAGGCTATAACTAGTTTTTGAATAGTTAAATATTCTACTATAAATACAAGCCTTATAACCTTCAAGAAAACAAGAGAAAGCATCTAAAATTTCAAAAAAAAAAATTCAAAATTTATTTTCTTTCACTTAAACCTTTTTGTAGTTGATCTTGGAGAGATCATCTTGTATTCATTAGTTTCATTTTTTCGTTAAAGGTTCAATAACACTTGTAAACTATTGGGAAAGTGTTTGGGTTTATTGTTAAATTTAGAAAACTTTACCTTGAGAAATAAAAAATGTTTGTGTAAAATTGTAACAAGAGGTTTGGATTGTTGAAGGTGAATAATATGAACAAATTATTACTACATTTTACATTTACAACTATAAATTCTTAGCTACAGAATGTGCTATCATAGCTAATATATACATACAACCACGATAGTTATATTCCATAGCTAACTATATTTTCTTTAATAACGTGTCTAAAACTTCCAAAGTCAAATAGTTAGTTGCTGCTATGATAAAGTACTTTTAAGGTAAAATATGTTTTTTAACTATAAATTAATAATCATAACTATTATATTATATTTAATTTAATTACTTAGCCATATATATTAGCAATAATAAATTGATTATAGTCATAAAAACTATTATATTATAGCTAATTCAATTGCTTAGCCATATGTTTGAAGTTTGTAGTAATAATAAATTTATTATAGCCATAAAATTATTATATTATATCTAATTTAGTTGTTTAGTAATAAATTTCAAGTTCTATAATTAATTTCACATTATAGGTGTAAACTAATATGGGATGGAATGGAATTAAAGTTGGGTAATCACTAGATTGAAGCAAACAAATCAAAGCGAGAAGCACACTATTTTGTTATTTTGTAGGGAAAAGTGGAAACAAAGAAATCAATTGTTTGATTAAAAAGAAAAGTCTAATTTCTATATGCATACAGGAAAGTATGTATAATTTATTAAATAAAATATACATTTTATAAAACTATATCAAACCTTATCACCTAATATTCACTTATCATTTTTCTTCCTATAAATTTAGACATATCTTATGTTATGTTTGTATGGTTACATTCAGACCACAACTTAAATAAATTAAAACATAAAATTCATAGCTTAATTGATAATGTTAATAAAGTCATAGTAAATAAAATGCAATAAATTTAAGACAAAACAAGCCATAATTCCAAATCTAATTGCACAAGTAAATCAATAACAATTTGGACATGAGTTCTTGCTAATATGACTATTTAAAAATAAAAATAAAAGTTGAGTCTTAAAATTTCCCTACTAAGACAAATTAAAAGGTAAAAAAAAAAAATTTACTAATATCATCAAATAAAAATTACAAATGAGTAGCATCTACTACATTTAATTGGTTGAAAATCTATAACTGTAAATCTTCATTTGTGTCACTGTCATCATCATAAAATTCAATTTTTGAGTCAACAATATCATCATCAATCACCACTATAACCATCAAGAATAAGACTTATATCAACTCTTTTTAAATTTAACAAGTCATCATTATCATTTAATGTGCTAGAGGTATTAGGTAAGCACAATATATTTTGTTAAAAAGCGTATTCATTTACTTAAAGTTTAACACCGTTAAATAAATCAACCACTTAAATAGAGCTCCTTTGATTAAAGGATTACAAGTGTAAAATTGATTTGAAAATTGACATACATTCTCTTTTAAAATATTAATTATAAGGTAAGTTTTAAATAAGTCTTCCAAAAATAGTTTTAGGAAAACGTTTTGCTCTACAATTAGAATTTCTTATAATAAAATAAAAATCCTAGTTGAAAAAAATTAGGAATAGAATAGGAGTTAAAATTTTTTTCTTTTATGGAAGGGGGAGTTTAATTAATGGAATATTAAAAGAAAAATGGAAAAAAGGTGTATGTAATATCACTAAATAATCGCAACTTATAATAAATGTATCTATTTTTAATTAGTGCTTTATGTTTCTTTCTTAGTTATTAATATCATTTTCCTTTGAAGTTGCCTTTACAACCTTCCATATTATTGATTAAACCCTAGTCCTTACTCATGTTTCGCCTCTTCATTTTTCCTCCATCTGAAAATTCCCCACTCTGAATATTATGCTACTTATTTTTCCTTCTTCAAAAACTTATTGAAGGCAAAAAATTTTCCCTCTATTATTTTCAGTTGCCCTAGTACATAACTTGATGAAATTCAGATTTAGTTCTATTTTTTTCATTTAGCTGCATTGTGCATGTTTCCCTTGTTCTTCAAAGGTAAGCCAATAAACTTGATTGAGAGCAATTGTTGACACCACATAAATAAATTAATTGAAATCAATTTTTTTCTCTTGTTCTATTTTTTTTTTTTTTTTGTCATGGCTACACTACAATGTGCTCTACATTTTTTGAATTTTTAGTATTATATTCAATTATTTATTTCCAATCAAGCCAAAAACAATTAATATTTTTCTACCCTAACAATTGTAGATTAAAGTTCTCTTTGCTTATGAGTTAATAAACTCTATTCTCTTTTATATTTATTATGTACTATAATCATTCCACAAGGATCTAGCCCTCCAAACAATTCCAAGAAAGCAACAAAGCTTTCATAATTGTTTGAGAAAATTAACGAATTAGACTATAGATTATTGATTAATTTATTAATAAATTTGATTTATAAGTTAGTTTTTATCATTCTATTCATTAATCTTGAGGAATTAATAATGAATATTTAATTTAAACAATATAAATATTAATTATTTATTAGTAAAATATTATCATCATAATAATTTATTCTATTCCGATTCATCTATGAATAATATTTTGGCTTTGTTGTAGACCCATTGTGACATTAATGTGCGAGTCAAAAGGCAACAGAAAGGGGGAGGACATTGTTAAGGACAATGTGATAATTGTTTATTTTGTGCCTTACGTTTCTTACGAGAAATTCAGTTTTGAAGTTCCAAAAGGGAGGAAGGAAGCTGTTCTTGGTCATATGAGTGTTTTATATAGAGATTATAGGAATAAATTGAAGTATAACTACTTGGATAAGAAAAGAACTGTAATACCCCAAAATTTTGTGATATTTAGCATTAAGTTAGGGACTTTTTTGAAAAATAAATATTGTTTTGGGGTTTCTTAGCCAAAATGTCCAAACTTGAAGGACTTAAAAGGGTAAAAATTTGGATAAGGACCGGGTATTTTTTCTTCCTTCTTCCCCAGCCATTTCGCGTTCTGCTCTTCTTTCT